AGAGGGGTGGACTAGAAGTCCTCCAAGGTCCCTTCCAACTCCGTTATTCTGGATTCATAGAAGTGTGTAAGTTGCAACAAGAAAGGATCTCCACCGCTGGAGGTTTTCAAGGAAAGATTGGACAGCCATTTGCCTGGAATGGTATAAGCAGGGCTCTTTTTCTCATAGAACACCCAGAACGGAGTTCCGGCACCTTTTTTGGATGGAGCCTTGTAGGGTAGGCAAGGCCGGTTGTATGATGTGTGTGAGTTCCGGCACCTTTTTTTTTTTTTTTAACAAAAAAAAGCACTGGGGATGAGGGCTCTTGCCTTGGGCAGTGGGTTGGACTAGAACAGGGGTTCCCAACCGGGGGTGCTCGCACTCCCGGGGGGGGAAAGATATTCCAGGGGGTGCAAAAACTTGGGTTTTCAAAATTATAGTGTAGATGCATAATTCGTTGCTGTTATTTCAAACGTTTATATGGGGTGCGAGAATATATCAAAAGCGTTCTAGGGGTGCGGGGTACGGAAAAGGTTGGGAGCCGCTGGTCTAGGGTCTCCTGCTTGAGCAGGGGGTTGGACTAGAACAGGGCTTTTCAACCAGTGGTACGGGTACCACCTGTGGTACATTGGCACCTGGCAGGTGGTACGCGACTATCCTAGAAAAGTGGTAGCGGGGGAGGGGAATGAGCTGAACCGGTGGCAGCACTGCAGAAGCCTGAGTGAGAGACGGCTGGAGCTGCAGGGCTGTCAGGGCTCAGCGGAAGCGCCAGGATCAGTGCTTCTTCGGGGCTGTCAGGGCTCAGCGGAAGCGCCAGGATCAGTGCCAGGCTCCAGCTGGAGCTCGGTGCTGATCCTGGTGCTTCCGCTGAGCCCAGAAGAAGCGTCGATCAGCTGGAATGTTGCAGCATCTCCAGGGTCTTGTGATTTACATTCAGATGCTTGGCAACCGATTCATATTTATGACGGTCACAGTGTCCCAGGGTCCTGTGAAGTGACCAAAACCTGCTGCAACCACCCAGCAGACGGGGGGGGAGTAAAAACCAAACACCCCCCACCCCACCCCCGCTGCCAATCCCCAACAGAAATGCTCACAACAATGAAAACCTCGGACAGGAGGAAGAGCGCGGCTGGGTGGGCAGGCAGGTGTTTTGCTCGGCTGTGCCCTGGGGGGCACTTTTTTCAGTGCCATTGTAACTTCGAACAGTCACTAAGCAAACTATTGTACGTCAAGGACTACCTGTACTTTATCACTTTTTTCCTCTTTTTTTTTTTGGGTCAGAAAGTTTTGGACACCTTGCTAGGCGACTGGTGGCACTCGGATGTTGCCATGTCCTAAAAGTGGTACAATGGGTGAAAAGGTTGAAAAGCCCTGGACTAGAAGACCCCCAAGGTCCCTTCCAACTCTGTTATTCTGACAAAGAACCAAAGCTTTGGAAAAAGGAGGCTAAACAGGCCTGGTAAGAACTGAACAGGAGGGGCTGTTCTTGCCCAAGACTGCTCGGCTCCCCCCCTGCC